TAGGAAACAATGGTAAATGGATGAGGCAGCTCATGCTCTCAAGCAACATGAAATAGTGGAGTCAATACAGAAATAGATATAATCTCCATTTAACAGGGCAAAAAGTTATCACATTGCTTCTCAAATGAGCAAAGGAAAATGTAGTTTATTTTTTATAACTGATAATCTTTTTTTCTTGAATCCCTGCCCCACTGGGTGGGTGGGTGGGTGGTGAAAGAGCTGAATTAAATTGTTATATTTAGTTATTAATTATTAAATTGAATTATTCAGTCCATTTTAAGTTCAACTCCCTCTCATGGCTATTTCTCACTCTGCCCTTTTCTGCCATCTGCTTGAGAAGGTGAGGGGGGCGTACATTCCCTGTGACGAGGTGGTGCTATGGATTGGGTGTTAGGTAGGCTTGCTGTTCTGATCTTCTCTGGTTTTTATTCTGGGCAGCTGGTCTTCTGTGGTGCTTGCTCACCAAACCTGCGGCAACAAATCATCTGTTTGTTTTGGTTGGGCTGGGGATCAGTGTCTCTTCCTTGATGATTTGCCTCCACTTTGTTTCTAGGAAGAGCTATAGGTCCCCATTAAGCTCTGGTGGGCCCTGCAGCTCTTTGCTACAGGATCCACAAGGTTACTTGCTCAACTATTCCAACTTTCCAGCTCTATAGTCAGCTGTTTTCCAAGGTTCCCACCAGGTACAGAAAACTGCCATATCTCTTTCAAGCCACATACTAGCTGACAGAGGCCATTTACCTAACATGGAATTGCCGTTTTTATGAGAGTTCAGTGTTGGAGCACCAGCAGTCTGTTCAACAATTTTTCTCCCAATGCACTCAATGGCAACGGGGCACAGCCCTCTCCCCTTGATTCTCCCCTAACCCCCTCCACAGTTCTGCAGGGGTTGGGCAACAGAGGTGAAAGGACACCCTGTGCCTGACCCTCTCATCCTCTCACTCACTCTTTCCAGGACTAGGAGAGCCTTAAAAATATTTCTTTTTGCTACTCTGTAACTTTTTCCACCCCAAGGTGTCATTTATTCTCTTCCTTGAAGTCATATTTACAATTTAATACTTTAAAAATATTTTATTTCATGAGATAAATGTAATGGTAAGGATAAGAACAGACTGATATGCAATTAACATAAGAGTGTGGTGGTCCTCCCCAACCTACTCTTTGGGTGTTAGGGAAGTGGTACCTAAACTAAAACATGCAGAATACACAGGAATTAGGTAACATGCAAAAGCTAGATAGGCGTTCAAAAAGAGTACATGGAAAGGTCCAAAGGCTGGAGGACTTCTGACAATTTATAATGGCTGAAGCACAGAGGCAATGGCAAGAGCTGAAGCTGAAGTGGTAAGCTGTGGTCAGATCACAAAGAGCCTTAAAAATCTTGTTTAGCAGTTTTGACTTTATCCTAAAACAAGGGAAAGCCTATGTCTTAGACAGGAAAAGGGCATGATAAAATGTATGCCTTAGCAAGATTACTCTGGTTGAGAGATGAATGCATATGAAGAGGGCAAAGTTAAGGGTCACATAATTCCCCTCACTCAGGGACTGGCCACCATCTTGAATTTTGCCAGTGTGAGCTGGAAAAATATAGGGTAGGAGGGAGGGTCACAACAGCATATTTAAGTGTTAAAGGGATGGATGCAGAAGGAAGGCAGAGAGTGAAGAAACAGAAGAGAGGAAGAATGACTGGAAGCCAAGGCCTTTCAGAGGTGAGAATGCTGTGAGGCTCAGAGGGGAAAGACCCCTCTCTCATTCTCAGAAGAGGGAAAGGAAATGATGGGTAAAGTGTAAATAATTTGGCAAATTTAGTCACAGGAACTTGTAAGAGTTCTTAACTTTTTTTCCTTTAATGCAGGAAGCAAAACATACTTGTCTGCTCATAAGGAGTAAGGTGACAAAGGATTAGTATGGCAAACACGGTTGGCTAACCCAATGTCGTCCTCAACCCCCATCTGCCCTGCTTTCCCTCTAGTGGTTGAAAATGCTTTCCCTACCAGACACACACGTAACAATGAAACATAAGCAAGATTTTGATAGGGTTTTTGGAAAGCTTTTTGCTTAGCATGGCTGTCTTTGTCCTTTCTTCCTGACTTAATCCCAGTTCCTAGAGCTGTGACAGCTCTCTCGAAAATCGGACAAAATAGCATGAGGTAAAGCTAGACCTTCCAGCTGCTGATTAAGAGCCAGCAACCCACCTTCCAGATTTCGGGTTGAAAATTCCTATTTGTTTAAACCACCAAAGATGGATTTTGCAACCAGAAGCATTCCTAACACAGAAAGGCTTGCTGTGTTAAGCCACTGTTGTACGGACAGTGATGAACATTTGACTTGGTCTCTGAAGAGAATGGGAGTGGTAAACAAAAACAAAACCAAAAACAAACAAACCACAAAGGATTATTGGTAACCTTGAAGGCCCAGATAAAGTGAAAGCCATAAAACAATACCAATTTCATTTTGGAGTATTTACTATCCCTGAAAATTAATCAATATAATGGTTAATAATAAATGCTAATAAAATGCTAATTTTTAAAACCAAGGTTAGCTTAACTAATTCTCCTTTTATATAAACTAGTACCATTCACTCATTAGGATACCTACATAACTACGAAATTCAAAGTACACAGAAACACCCTTTAAAGATTCATCACAGACGATATGATTTACGCCACTTTCTGGTGAAGACATTCATATTATTCACAATAAAGAGAATGCAACCTTACAAAGTTGACAGCAGCACCAAGTGAAGATAGGTGCTTCCTTCAAAATACTTGATTTAGATTCTGCCATCTTATTCACACAGAACCTAAGAAACTCTTTCCGTATTTAAGCAGTAATTCACAATATACACATCTCTGAGGCATTTGTTGTTTCAACAGATGGTTAGTTCCTCTCTGTAATTACAAAGAGAATGAGCCCCAAATAAAAAGCATCCTACATTTTTAGTGACTCAAAATACACACAACTCAATATAAAATTCATATTCACTAGAGCTACAAATCATAATCACTATCAGAAAATTCTATAATAAAATGTACACTCACTTCTTCTACTAATCTTATATTTATCAGCATGGTAACTAAGTAGACTGTGGTAATTCCACATATTTGGAGCTCCTCTAAGCCAATTTCTGGAGATACTCCAGAAGATATGGTTGGATTTTCCAAGAATGAAATGTTTTACACTTTATGAGGAACCCAACCAGACAAAGAAGTTGACTATGAGTCTTTTCCCTTATTCCAAGGACTTTGATTTCTGATGTTTGCCTCCATATTGGGTAACTGTAACACCATGGAAAACACAACACATGTATTATTGTAGTAACATTACAGAGTTTTATCAAAAATCTCTGGAAAAGAGATAATTACGTTGTTTTTATACTGTCAGAATAATTTTAATAATGTATGATTCAGTAATTTTATTTTTCAACAGGGAATCTGGCTGAATTAAATACAGGTAAAACTTATAGCTACTCGTATCCCATATATAAGCCAAATAAGATATCCCATAAATGTCTTAAAACTTATAAACTATAATGGTTAGGTTCAACAATTGTTTATAAGGGACTGCAGTGGACCCTTTACATTGAACTTCAGTGATTTGTCCATATGTACAAGAGCATCAAAACCAGGGTCTCATCTCATGACAGCATGTCTAGAAACTCATCTTACTAAGAATGCAGACGACTCTGAAAAGGTTGTCTTGTGATGCCTGAAACATATTCATAGCTGATTTGTGTCAGAAAAAGGGACATTGAAGCATTGTCATCAGCAGTTAAGGGCTTCCTCTAGTTAAGCTGTGGTACATTTCTCCATCACACACTGTACTTGCCAACACTTGTGGTACATCACTCGTTTGACAATTTCGTTCATCTCCCTTTTTTCTTTATATTAAGATGATCATCATCTTAATTACAGAAGCACCCACAGAATAATATTGTTATGAAAACATTCCTTGTTTAGCTGACTCCTTATAGACATGCAGTCATTTTCATGTTTCCATTGACTTATTTCCAAGTTACATTGCAAAGGAGATTATTTTTTTCCAACATAGGAAATTCACTTGGTATCAGTAGTATGGAGGCTCTTGTGTGCTTTCATAAGAGATTAAGGCCCTTTATTTCTCTGCCTCCTGAAAGTGACCTGGGACACTTCAGCCTAGTCTTGAAGTACATATTATTTTGGGCCTCTGCAATCCTATGTTCATATTTTGAATCTGGTAACAGAAGACAAAATAGGAATTTTATTATTTTATTTTATTTTAGAGACGGAGTCTCGCTCCGTCTCTGAGGCTGGAGTACAGTGGCGTGATCTCAGCTCACTGCAACCTCCGCCTCCCAGGTTCAAGCAATTTTCCTGCCTCAGCCTCCCAAGTAGCTGGGATTACAGGCGCATGCCGCCACGCCTGGCTAATTTTTTGAATTTTAGTAGAGACGGTGTTTCACCATGTTGTCCAGGCTGGTCTTGAACTCCTGAGTTCAGGCAATCTCCCCGCCTTGGCCTCCCAAAGTGCTAGGATTACAGGCACGAGCCACCGCACCCAGCCAGGAATTTTTTTTGAGTGCTTTAATTTTTGGTCTTTAGAATTCTAGTGCTTAAGTTATGAAATGGAGGAGAATATCTATTTTTACACTGAGTAACTCAAACATTCCTTCTCAATGAGGGAAAAAACAACTTGTCTAAAAAGATATATACTAGTTCATTATATGTGTTAATAATGAAAATAGTAGAACATGTCTGAGAATGCCTTTTCAAGAGCTGTGTAGGGATGGAAATCTGAATTAAGCTTTGGAATGGCAAACATCAGAATTGACACTGCATTAATAAGCAGGAAAGTAAATTATGCTGACATGAGATCTTCAACCTTCTCTCCTGTGGCTTTCATGGCTCTTGAAAGGAGTCTGGTGCTTACTAAGACCACTGATTTGTACTAAGGAGCGTTTGCACCTTGCGTCTTCCCTTGTGCTGAAATAGCTCTGAGTAAATGCTTTGATTCCCTCATGATACTTATGGGACTTCTTTTCTAATGTGTCTTTTCCTATGTCTAAAAAGATTCGAGTCCTGACGAAAGGCTTTGCCACAGTTATGACACTTGTAGGGCTTCTCACCAGTATGGGTTCATCGATGCTGAATCAGAATCGTGCTTCGGCTGAATGCCTTTGCACACTTGTCACATGCATAAGGTTTCTCTCCACTATGGATTCTCTGATGTAAAAAAAAGGGCTGAGCTCTGACTAAAGATTTTGCCACATTCATCACATTTGTGTTGTTTTTTCCAAGAAGGGTTTCCTTGTCTCCTTTCAAGCCTACCGTCTTGTTCATGGGTTGCTCTATATGTGGAACTCTGGGAGGCATTGATATAAAGGATGTTAGAGACATCGCAGTGCAGTTCTATGCCTAAAGAAGTCTTCTGCCTTGCTGCGGATTTCACATTTGTAGTTTTGATGTCTTCATCTGAAATAGAAAAATGAATGTCATCAGGAAAGAGAAAGAATGATCCAAATGAAATATACATGATTATTGCTAGCATGTTTATAAAACAACACAATGTGAAGGATGGAGAGTGTAAGACAAAATATTGAGAAGATTATATAAGACAAAGAGAAAGGTTTACATACTGAGGAGGCAGTCAACTACACTATAAAGATGAAAAGTTCTACGGAAAAGACAGAATAGGGAATAAGGATAAAAAGACATCAGAAACTAAGGAAAGTCTGGAAGGAAAGAAAGGGCTTAAAAAGAAGAAATGATTGGAGATACAGAGAGATAGCTTGAAGGAGAGGAATCCAATGCGCCAGTGGGAGTAAGAAACAAGATTTAGTACTGGGGTATCAATAAACAAATAAAAGCTAAATAATCATAAAGGAATCAATAACTATACAAAGAAATGAGCTGAAGAAAGCCAAAGGGCCAAAAGGGAATGTGGAAAATAAAGTAAGAAAATATAAGTTAGGCAAATAAAGGGAAGAATATAGACTAGGATAACTAGTACCTCAAAATATCAAGGGTAGCACAGTACCCATCGATGAAAAACCTCTACTCCTGTATGGATATTATATTACTGGTTGAATGGCTGTTTGTTGTATTATTTTGTATTACTTTTAACATCTATGAAAAATGTACATGGCTGCTTATGGGCTGCAGTCACTCAGGCGGCACACAAACCTGGCTTGATGCAGAGGGCCTTATGACTCAGGGTGCCTAAAGCTCCAGCAGAACTGCTAACTCAGATGTGAAAATGCCAGTGTAATGTGGATGCATTACCTGAAGAAATCACTTTAGTTATCCTCATGGTGGCATTCTAACTGAAGCTGCTGAAAGACAGGAGCTTAAAATGAGTTTATAAAAGCAAAGTACAACAGTTTTGGACATATCTGGGGACATGACTTGGCTGGAGCTGAAGTAATTATATAAATAAGATTAAAAGCAACCCAGAGAGGCACTGATGATAAGTGATCCCCTGGGCCCTCTCAAGGCCTAATCAAAAGGATGGGGTGAGAAAGGTGGTCTGGGGAGAACAGTTAGTGATGGAGTGTGATACTGAATAAGAAAACTGAGTTGTTTTACTCTTTAGAATTTATTTAAAATGGATCTACCTGCTGTCTCTACAATCTCCTTAGAATCACCCAACATAAGCTCAAATCTTAACATAAGCCCTTCCCAATTCCTTCTTAATAACACACCCCATAGTTTCTGTGCCGTGTTCTCTTTCTTGCTGCAGCAAACTAAATAAACCTAACTTAAAAAAAAAAAAAAAACCTACATAAAAATCAAATCAAATCAAATCAAATGGGTCTAGTTATCACAAAAGGAATTTAAAATTATTTATTGTATTTATTCACAAATGTGGTGTCTCAGTCCATTTTCTGTTGCTTAGAATACCTGAATTTGAGTAATTTATTTATAAAAAGAATTTCTTATAGTTATGGAGATTCAGAAGTTCAGAGTGGAGGGGTGCACCTGGTGAGAGCCTTCTTGCTGGTGGAGACCCTCTGAAGAGTTCTGAGGCAGTGAAGGGCATTTCACAGTGACGGGTCTCAGCATATTAACATGCTAACTCAGCCCTTTCTTCCTGTTCTTATAAAGTTACCAGTTCTACTCCTATGATAACCCATGAACTCATTAATCCATGAATGAGTTAATCCATTCATGAGGGCAGGGGTGATAATCCAATTGCCTCTCAAAGGCCACACTTGGGATTAAGTTTCAACATCAGTTCTGGAGGACACAAATATTTAAACCATAGCATATGGCATACTCATTTATTGTTACTAGTTTAAGTGGAAATAATTTTATAAATGGTAAGGATTCTGTCTCAAATTCATTTTTGCTAGTTTATATTCCAAAGTGACCTCAATGATTAGTCGTTACTATCAAAATCCTGGCATCAATTAATACTTTACAGCACTGAGACCAAGATCATCTCCCAGAAGCTTTGATAAGACATGACTCAGTACCACAGAAATCATGTTGTGGCCTTAAGAAATGGTTCTATTATTCTATCACATGATGCTGGTTCTCTCTGCCATGTACTGCAAGATCCTGGACCTTTTGCATTCTGTTTCAAATTTCTATGAATCTTTAAAAAAATGTAGGAAAGGCCTCCATGAGGACACTCACAGGTAGGATGTGGTTCTTGCCACACCTGGCTTTGGGGTTGATACTTCTGTAGTCACCGCCACACCAAGCTGCTGAGTATGGGATGGTCTCCCTCTCTTTCCTGATGGAAAATACTTTTTCCTGAAAAGACTTTCACTTTTCTAAGTAAACTAAGACAATTTCTAGACTGGAGGTATTATGTATCCCAGTATAAGCCTTCTGAGAGTCAGTACTTGCCAAGTTAGGGCAAGCAATGTTTTCTAAATCTTTCTAAATTACTGTATTTTCTTTGTGTAGTTTCTTATAAAAATTCCCTTGGAAAAACTCTAACCTTGCTTAGCTATCAGCCACTCCTGAACTATGGAAGCAGTGCTGGAGGGAGGGAAGGCAATGCTCCCAAGTAGGATTTCCCTCTTAATCTCTGGCTCCTATTTTATCCAGGATGATCATCTAGAAGGAAGGTCTCTGCTCAGACGTTGCTTCATCAGAGAGGCCTTCCTACCACTCTATATAATAAGATCCTATCCCCGCTATTCTGTTTACAGTAGCGTGGCCCTTTTATCAAATGAAATTTTACACTGAGTTCCAATATATAAAACAGATGAAAACACAGCTACTCTGGCTGAAGCAGGAGCAAGCAGTCACAACCCATAAGGCCTCTAACTCAGCCTTATTTCCAATTCTTACCTTCATCTAACCCCTTTACTCTTTGTTTTGTTTTTATTTTTTCTCCCTAGCACTTATTTGTTTAGTATTTGCAATGGAAGAACAGATTGCTACACAGCTATGCTGGAGCACTTACAGAAAGCAATGCAAAGATCAGTTGAGGCCAGTTGAGGATGTGAGGGAGTAGAGAAATGTATTCAAAGAATGTATGAGAACAAAGTCACCTTAGCAGCAATATGGGCAATTTTGCTACTAGATCCCACCAGTAACTGAGCAGTCATATAGGAAATGATGATGAGGATCAGTGGTCTCTGGGCTGTGTACCTTGGGGTCCCACAGACAAGCCTCAAGGGCTGCCTGAAGATAAAAGGACTACTTTAAAAAGGCATGAAAACCCTGATGAGATGTCAGGGATTTAATATCTAAAGATTTTATAAGAATCTCTGAAAAAGAAGAACAGACTACTGAAGATCTTCATTTAGTAGGGCAAATAACAGAAGTTTCCACAGTAAGATGACAGCGGGAGATTTGAGGCCTCTTGCATAAATCAGCCGAGATGTGTGTGGTGAGCAGAGGGCCCCTACACCTTCCATCATGAACTGAATCCTGCCCCTTCATCATGCGGTCTTAAGGACTGAAGCTCCCATGATGTTCCCTGGAGCTACTTCTTCACGGGCATGAGCTGGCTACTTGGCAATTCCTCAGTGATTTCTGAAGGTGCTAGCTTCTCTGCAATCATGTCCTTCCTTTGTCCAAAAAAGACCTAAAAACAGGAATAACTGAGGCTGAAGAACACCATGAGATTGGGACTTGAGGATAAAATGACAGAGAATAAACTATGCAAAAACTATTATGGACACAGGAAAAGGGAGGTAAAAAGTAGAGCCACCTTCTATTTGCTGGGACACCCATTAGTACTTTCACCCCTACACACCAAGTTGTGCTGACTGGGAATACAGTTTGAGAGCTCTACGCCCAATGATGTGCCAGCACTCTTGACTCAGCCTGGGGCTTCATCTCCACAGGAATCCTTCTTACCTGCTCTGGTCCATCAAGCTCTCTCTCCACATCCTCCGGCATAGTCACAGCTTCCTCTCCATTCTCTGGATGATGCTTCTGCACCCAGGCCTGTAGCTCTTTTGGGAGGATGGCCAGAACTGCTCCAGCACCAGCAGCTCCAGGATCTGCTCCTTGGTGTGCACCTCCGGCCTCAGCCAGAGATGACAAAGTTCCCGGAGTCGGCTCAGAGTCTCCCGGGGCCAAGGTGAATCCTGGTAGCCAAACTGCCTGAACTGCTGGTGGAAGGTCTCTGGGCTGTAGCTGCTGCTCCAGTGGAGGTTAGAGTCCAGATCACAGGTCTGTTCTTCCTCTTCCATCTTCACTGTCAGAATCCCATTACACTCCTCTGAAATTTGTGTTAGGAGTGATGATGACTTTCCCAATTTTGCAGACATTTTGACAGACAAATAGCTCAGTACTGTTGGGCTTTAATCCTCAAGGAAGTAAAGCTCTCCTTATGGACACTCCTTAAATATGATTAAAGAAACAAGTGGAAAGAAGACAAAAGACAAATGCTTCTTACAACAAAACAACTAAGATTAGAAACATAAGACTGTATAGGAAATACTGACCTTAGTCTTAACAGAAATCATGCTTTTATTTATTTATTTATTTATTTATTTATTTATTTATTTATTTATTTTTTGAGATGGAGTCTTGCTCTGTTACCCAGGCTGGAGTGCAGTGGTGTGATCTCAGCTCACTGCAACCTCTGCCTCCTGGATTCAAGTGATTCTCGTGCTTCAGCGTCCTAAGTAGCTGGGACTACAGGTACCCACCACCACGCCTGGCTAATTTTTGTATTTTCAGTAGAGACGGGTTTCACCATGTTGGCCAGGCTACTCTCAAACTCCTGACCTCAGGTGATCCACCTGCCTCCTGAAGTGCTGGGAGTACAGGCATGAGCCACCACGCCTGGCCCAGAAAACATGCTTTTGAAGAATACTTCTTTAAGAGAACCAAATAGCTAAGACTCATTAATTCGTATGCATAAGCGATTCACAACTCATTCTGAAAACCATGCCCACAAGGCTACTGAGTATTACAATAAGAGATCACCCAGGATTGCATAGAAGTTCTCAGATAATGGAAATAAGGGAAGCCTGAGAAATGCTATGAGTCTGGAGCCAGTTCAAAGAGCCAATCAGTTTTCAGTTTGCTGCAAAGAGCTCAAAGAAATAGTCTCATGAGGGAAGTACTTTCAGCTTTTACTGTTAAAACATTACTTCCACATTAAAGGAACCATTCCAACAAAACAAAACAAAACAAAACCCAATCAGCTGGGCACTGTGCTTGTGCCTGAAATCCCAGCACTTTGGGAAGCCGAGGTGGGAGATGGGAGGATCACCTGAACCTAGGAGCTTGGGACCAGCCTGTGCAACACAGTAGGATCCCATCTCTATTAAAAAATAAATAAATAATAAGAAAAAAGAAAAACAACAACAACAAAGGCAACCGTACATTCCTTTATCTGAATGTATTTCCATTTTTTTCCATATCCATATTATTTACTTAACTATGTATTTTAAAATACTTAGGTTGTTTCTAATTTCACTATTATAATTAATGCTGGGAGGCACATCTTTATGAATATACGATTTTTCTCCTTTCAAAGTATTTCTTTCAAGCATGTCCCAAGCCTCTGCTTGCTGAGGATCAAAGGAGAATAGCAAATTCTGTCTTGCTATGTATTATCAAAATATTGCAAAAAAGACTGTATCAATTCACAATACCATCACAATCATAGTGACCTGTGAGGGCAACGATTTCTTCAAGTATTATTAGCTCGTTAGCAACAAAGGGGTGGGGATGGCACTTCTCTTTGTATCATTTTACTCTTAAGTATCATCAGTAACTAATCGCATTTTGTTGTTGTTGTTGTTTTGGGTTTTTTTTGAGACAGAGTCTGGCTCTGTTGCCCAGACTGGAGTACAGTGCCGGGATCTTGGCTCACTGCAGCCTCTGCCTTCCGGGTTCAAGTGATTCTCCTGCCTCAGCCTCCCAAGTAGCTGGGATTATAGACGTGTACCATCACGCCTGGCTAATTTTTATAATTTTAGTAGAGACGGGCTTTCACCATGTTGGCCAGGCTGGTCTCAAACTCCTGACCTCAGGTGATCCATCTGCCTGGGCCTCCCAAAGTGCTGGGAGTATAGGCGTGAGCCACCGCACCCGGGCTAATCACATTTTTTAAATTGGGCAGCAGGTATATGACAGTGTTTGTACAACTTTAGTGTTTGTACAACTTCAGCAAATGATGACTACTTTAAAAATCTTACGTGCCCCTCCATCTTCCCTTGTTATGTATCCTGCCATTTGATTTTTTTTCTCACTTCAAGTACTGTTCTAGGTACTGAAGAAACACCAGTGTCCTGTATAAAGCCTGAGTTCATAAAGCTTGTTACCAAATAAACGATACAACTTTACACAATGATGTGCTATGAAACAAACAATAGCAGACACACATATTAATATAATTTACTATGTGCCAAGCACTGTTTTAAACACCTCAGTAAAAATATACAAAGGTTAAATCCTCATAAAAGTTCTAGATTATTTTTACCCCCATGTTGTAGATGGGGAGGCAGTCCCAGCAAAGCCAGATACTCTGACCAAAGGCAAAGCTGGGGTCTGAATCCAGGCCGTCCACACTTATCCATGGTGCTGTGTGGTTAAGAGGCCACAGGCAGCAGGGGCCCCTGGGGCGACCACTGCGCGTTTTCTCTGCGCAGAGGAGGAAGCGGCGGCAGGCAGCCGCACTCCCAGATGAAGAGGGGCCGGAAGAGTCTGAGGAACGAGACCCGAGAGGTGGGAAAGGTTGAGGTCACCGCTTTGGAGCCGTCAGGTACCCTAAGGGATATATGAGGGACCCCGGGGCTAAAGCAGCCTCTGGAAGAGAGGGGCCGCCCTGTCACTTCAGCGCCAGGCGCAGAATCTGGGCTAAACCTGAGAGGGGGGAAGAAACCCCCGACACCGCACGACGGCCAGAAAGAACTGGGTCCGCGGCGGGGAGGCTTCGGTCAAAGCCTGGGACGCAGGGGTCTTTCCGCCGGGGACGCCGCTCTTGGCTCCACCCTGCTGTGGCGGGAGGGCTACGGGAGGGCTGACTTTCGACAGTCTCCGGACCTCCCGGCCTCCCAGGCTGGGAACCGCCGGGGCGAAGCGGCAGGTGGCGCGTGGGGCCGACGGGCGGCGCGTGGGGCCGGCAGGGGGCGTGGGTTCAGCTGGGAGGGCAGGCGCCGGGGTCCGCCGGGGAAGGACGAGGGGAAGGGGTGCGCGGATTCCCGCGCAGACAGCGATGTGGGGGCAGCGGCGGGGAGGGGCTTGGGGATCTGGGACTGTGTAGAGGGGTGCTGTACTGGCGCGCGGAGGAAGGGGTGGCGCCGAGTCCGCTGTCGCCTCTCCGCGTCCCCCTTCCACCGCCCGGCGACCGCCGCTTCTGACCGCGGCCTGGGGGCCTTAAAGAGGCCTCGGGTCTCACCTCCCGGCAGAGAAGCGCCCACCCAGACACCGTCGGGGAGAAACCGGGGAACTGCAAGCTGCGCAACAGCTTCCGGTTCTGGCGGCGGGTGGGGGCGGGGCCCGGAACGCTGGGACGTTGCCACGGAGACGAGCCGCCGCAGCCGCGCACTTAGGGGAGAGAGAACTGGGAGGCTC